GGGGTGAAGACAAATATAAAAACAGCAAAACAAATGACACCATTAATCTGCCTGGATTTTCCACCTCATAGAACAATCTGTTTAGGAATGACTGAAATAAAGTGGAATGTGGTTTAGATTTTTTCCCTCAGCAATCTCTCTCTCTAAATTCCTTGTTTATGGGGAAACACTGAAAAGAGGAGTTAGTCCCACTACCCCTTAGTAAAAAAAAAAAAAAAAATTAAAAAGGCACTATAAGCACAGGGAAAGAAGGGGGGGGGGGGGTTTGCTTTGTGTAGGAAATAAAGACCGTAAAGTGAGGACTTTTATTGCTGGCAATCAGAGTATTGCTGCTGGCAGTGGCTAAAGGTGGAAAGCAAAGATGATTTAATTTATAGAAAGGACAAAGATGTCATGTAGCAGATTTAATCACTGAAAAGAAAAAAAAAAAAGAAAAAACCTAGCTAACGTCATAATTTACATTTTGGGATAATAAAGAAGAGTGAAAGAAAGAAACAACTGAAAAACCCTGATGGGTGAAAAAAATGAAGGAAGATAAATAGATTTGCCTGTAAAACTAATAAATTTAAAAACAAATCCAGAAAGCAAAACACAGCCCCTTGAAAGTGCTGGTAAAATGGACCATCGATTTTGGAATTCATCTGCATTTTGTATTTTAATAATGCTTACTCTCTCTCTCTCTCTTCCTCTCTCTCTTTTGCAAAATATAAAAGCTGATCTGATAAATATTAATTTGAACCATCATAATGTATTTGAAAATTCCAGCTAAAATGTCACCACATGGAACATTAATGTAATATTTCAAGGCCCTGAGAGCAATACTCATATTGATTGCATTTATTTCACTCTAGGGAGGAGAAATAATTCTTCAATGTGGGACACATCTGGTAGCCAAAGATGCAAAAGGCTGAGGGTAGAAATGCAAAATTATATGGGAAAAAACCCTCATAACCTAACACCCCAAAACCAAAACAGAAGTATAAGTGAACCTGACAAATGCAACCCATCCAATCTTGTGTTTCAGTTGTAGCAATTTTTTTTTTTTTTTTTTTTCCCCAGAATAATTCTCTTTGATTTTTTAGTTTGGAGAAAAAAAAAAATCACAAAGTAACAAAAATTCCCATCATGTTTCTATGAATCTTTTGGCATGAAAATCAACAATATCATCACAAGTCTAATGAAAGAATGTGTGTAATTTTATTGCCTATTGGAAACACAGAAGCCAGGCTGACAAGACATCACAGGACTTAATCCTGTGAAACTTGGACAGACGTTCCCAAGAATGATCCTCTTATCTGAGGAGGGGCTTGAACTTTGCAACACTGGTAACCCAAACATGTGCAAGATTGGGACTATTTTCCTGTGATTCTGCAGAAGGAGCATGGAGACACTGCCTGTCTGGGGTCCCATAAAACAGATCTTTTCCTTGTCATTAAGAATATTGATGTTCATTAGGCCCAGGCGTCAATGAGTCTTTGTGCAAATGAAACGAAATCTGAGTCAAATTTTGACCCTGAGCCCAACACATAGCCGCAACTGGCTGCAAGTGGGGGGGTTGGGGATTAGAAGGGTTCCCCGCAGCACCGAAAATTCAGCATCCTTACTCAGAGACAAAAACATCTCTGCAAACACAGCCAAAAAGCGTAAGGAAATGGTCCTGTCCTTCTACCCCGCCAAAAACCTCTTCATGTAAGGTGGTTTCTGATAAAGATGGAACAGATCAGGGCAACTTTTTGCATTCTGTCAAGGCAAGATCTCTTCAGGTAAGATAAAGGTGCTCTCTGTCCCAGCTCCTGTCAGGGCAGTATCACTTCTGCAGGTAATGCTCCTTCTTTTAATTTGTTACCAGGGTTTTTCTCTTCCACCGTGGGTCTGGGATTGACGTTTCTGCTGGACAAACTCCAGGCTAATGAAGCAAGCTTGAGCCTTGTAATTCACGGCGAGCTGCTTTGATGGAGCACTTTCAGTGTTAACAGTGTGATGGGTGCTTTTCGGAGCTAATGCCTCACTGATATTAACAGCCATGCCACAGAGCAAAATCTGCAATGTAAAAGCGAGTGGCTTGCTAAATATTTACAGGCGTGCACATCTCGCCGTCCCATTCATTTCCTTGACCTTTCATGAAGGGGGATGGGAAAGGAGATGCCAGAGAATGGTCCCTTCTGAGGTTCAGATGCACTAGAGCCAAACTGGCTCCCCAGCTGCTGATAGCAAGACCTTGAGCTGAGGTCCCACTCTTTCCTCCCCAGCAGTTCATAAAATTAAGTCGTGTAAAGTCGCCACATGCAGTGGGCAGGCTTTGGCCTGAGCTTTCTGAGCAGGGATAGAGGAATAGCTCCCAAAAGCAGAAGAGCCTTGTTATGAATGGTGTGTAGGTCACTGGAGCATTTCACTGCAGATCAACACAGAGGCCAGTTAGATCCCCAAACCCCCCAAAAGTTAATCCTAGGTGCAGCTGTTCCCAGAGAAAGGCAGCATTCCTGGGGAAGTAAAGATGGGAACCAATTAAGGAGACTTCCCAGTTCTGCATCCAGCTCTGCCACTGATGTGCTGGATGATTTTGGGCAAGCCTTTTCCCATCTCTGCACCTCAGTTTCTCCTGACAGCATTTAAAATAAATACAGAACGGGTGTAGCAAACCCTCCCACATGAAGACGGGAGAGGGCATTGTGAGGCTTGTTTAATGCTTAGAAAGCACTTTGAGATCTGCAGATAGAAAGCGGTACACGGAAGCCAAGTATTATCATTAAACTTTATATAACCAGGCTTTGTAGAAACCACGGGGGCAGGAGCAGCAGCTCCAGCTCCTGCAGCACCGAGCAGCGGAGCGAGCCGGGGCCGGAGCTGCGGCCGGGCACGGCGGGAGGCGGCCGGGCGGCGTGTGCCGGGGGAGCCGAGAGCGACACAGCCTGCTTTTGTGCCGCGCTGAGCCTCACGCAGCACTCGCGCGGCTGAGCAGCCTCTGCGCTCGCTCAAACTGCCAAAATAGTGCGCTCTGTCAAAATAGTGTGATGGCCGGTGCCGGCGTTGTGTGGCAGCCCGCGGGACACCCCACAGCGAACCGAGCCGAGCCGAGCCGGGCCGCGGTCCCGCCGCAGCCCCGACCCCGGCCCCGCCGCAGCCCCGGCCCCGCCGCAGCCCCGGCCGGCTCTCTGGGAGCAGAGCGCTCCATAGCCCGGGCCCGGTCCGGCCGCGCTCCCCAGGCAGAATTCCGGTTGCAGACCCCAGGCTGAGCAAGAGGTGGAGGGAAGGCTGTCTAAAGAGCAGGCATTAAGAAATGGTTTAATTAAACCCACCAGAATCTGCAATTCTTATACAGAGGAGAGAATACTGCAAGAGAACAGTGGAGAGTAGCTAGATAAGTCAACCTCACACACATAACACGAAAAGTTCTGTACAGAATTTACCACCCCCTAAAGGACCGAATGCTCACTGTAGTCTCTCCTACAGATAATCCTACAGGTCTGCAACTCTCCAGCTACATCAGCCCCAGCACTTTCTCCAAAGATGCACTATCCCCAAAATGACTTTTATTCACAGATTCAAAGTTTTATTAGTGCCTGGAACAGGACAAATTAATTCCCTACAGTGGTCTGCTCTACTACACCTTGCAAACTCCAGTGCTCAGGGCAGACAACCACAGTGCTTTCTCCAGACAGAGAAAGCCTGGCTTTAGTTTTTTTTTCCCTGCTGTTCTCCTTATACACCCATGCAATACATAAGGCTGCTGGGAGGCTCTGAGGAGGAGGCACACCTTCAGGAGGACAGGGGGTTTCAAGTCCATCATGTCATAAGCCCCCACCAGCTGCACAGCAGTAGTATGAACACAGGGTTTCAGGTGGGCCTGCAGAGCATTTAGAGTGGGGTTCTGTGCCTCAAACCACTCATAGGACAAACTGATGTGACCCTGTGAGCACTATGGCCTCAAGAGTCATGTTTGGGGATGTGATGATAATTTCCCCAGTCCTTCAAATATTGCACAAGGAAACACCCTCCCTACAATCTCTCCTCTGCCTACAGTTTCCTCCCCTGTCATTTACATGATTGTCAATTCCAAGTACCAGGACAGAGTTCCAGCTAGTGAACAAACCCAGACGCTTCTACAGGCTTTCACCGATGTCTGCCACCAGAAGAAGAGGATTGAACAGGACAGTGGTGAAAAGAAAAGGTTATGATCCTGGTCTTTCTCATGAGTGATACTGGGTCTGAGTCACAGAGGAAGATGGCACTAGAATAGCCTTTACTCCAGAAAAGCAGCACCCTGTCTGGCAGCCTGAGCTCAGGAAAGAGCCAGGACAGGAAGAGCAGGTCAGGAAGGAGATGCAGTGGCAGAGCAGCATGTTTGTGGGAGCTCAGATGGTGCATGCTCACTTTTCTGGGATGCGTCAGGCCCACACAAAGGGCAAAAAGCAGCAATGCCTGGGGCAGCATGCAGGGATCAGGATTTCTTTCTCAGGATTCTTGTCAGGTATAGGAATGGGCCATGAACACCCAGACCAGGTATTTCAAATCTGCTATTGAATTTTCCTAGTGCTTCATAAACCATGGATGAGAAGGAAAGAAGAAAGGCAAGACCAAACATTGCAGAGAACATTTTCCAAAGGCCTTGGATCTCCATATCTCAAGATCCAAGGGCTACAAACCTGTAAGATGTTGGCAAGAAGTGGCCTGTAACCCCTACAACCCCTCCCTCACTATCTTGAAGCTTTTCAGCAGCCTCATTCTTCGTCCTGAAGACCACATGGAAGACCCTCAGAAAGGCAGCCTTCCCACCCAAAGCCAAAGCCCCCACGCTGTGGGGTGAGGCAGGAGGTAGTTCCCACGCAGATGCCCTTGCT